ACCACAGGATAAATGCTTCAAAAGGTGAACTAGCGAAGGATGTTGGAAGGTATCATAGATTAGTGGGCCGGTTGCTATATTTATGTATGACACGACCAAACATCTCTTATGCAGTGAGTGTGGTGAGTCAATACATGCATGCCCCACGAGTTCAGCATTGGGAGGCTATTGACAAGATACTTTCCTACTTGAAGGGACACCCATGTAGAGGCATATTGTTTGCTAACCATAGACAATTGAAGTTAGAGGCTTATACAGATGTTGATTGGGCAGGGTGCCTAAATGATAGGAGATCTACATCAGGAGTTTGCACTCTTGTTGGAGATAATCTAGTTTCATGGAAGAGTAAGAAACAAACAGTTGTGGCAAGGTCAAGTGCAGAAGCTGAATACAAAACCATGGCACATGGTGTTTTAGAGCTCCTTTGGGTCCGTTCCTTGTTAGGGGAGATTGGAGTTGAGGCCGAAGAACCTATGATGCTATACTGTGACAATCAAGCAGCAATTAACATTGCCCACAACCCAAATCAGCATGATAGGACGAAACATATAGAAGTGGATAGACACTTTATAAGGGAAAGGGTGACATCCAGAGAAGTTTGCTTACCATATGTTGCACCTGACTTGCAACTTTCTGATGTTCTTACAAAAAGTGTTGCAAGAAACAAGCTAGAGCATGATCTACGCAAGTTGGGAATGTGTGACACCTATTCCCAACTTGAGGGGGAGTGTTAAGTTTTGGGCTGATATCACTTGTTTTTAATTTACAAAGCATAGTTAATAGTCATTGGGGGCCCAAGGCCCATTAGTTTATGTTTATGTTTAAGTTAAGACTGTTATTTAGATTTTACAAGTAACCAACTTACTAAGGGCATACTTGTCTTTGTATTCAATTTTTTATTTGTGAGTATATAAGCTAATGAAAGGGGCGGCCAGACCTAATTTTGACTTCTCCCGTTCTCTTCAATTTCTCTTCTCTTTTCTTCTCAGCATAAACCTTCTCTTCTCTTTCTTTTCTTCTTTCTTACACAGGTTTTATATCAAAACAAATCTTCTAAACTTTTCTGCTGAACATAAAAACGGGTGCTAGTGGTGAAAGGATTAGTAAGCCGTCATCATCATCATCATCCATACCTTATCCCAACTATGAAAGGATTAGTAGGTACCTTCATAAAATTTTTTAAGTGGAGGAGACTTTAAATAAGATGAAAAAAAGGCATTAGGACCCGATGATATCACAACAGAAGTTTAGAAAGGTATGGAAGAGTAGGAATGGAAATTTCGCGGGAATTTTCGGGTATCCGACTCATCCCGACCCTAATAGGACCCGTTTATCAAAACCCTATAGGGTTTGGGACGGGTTTGGGATTTTAGATTAAAACCCTATAGGGTTTGGGATTTTAGATTAAAACCCCATAGGGTTTGGGACAGGTTTGGGTTTTGACTTTAGGGTATCCAATACCCGGGATGCATAAATATAAACCTATTATATTATATATCATGCACAAATTTATAAATTTTAAGTACTAAGATAATTATTCTATTATTAATATTTTATTTGTATAAATTTCTTGGGATTAAATTCATCATTTGATGTAAATTTGGATTTGATAGATTGTTTATTTCATTTAGTTATAAAATGCTAATTTTAAATAGTATTTCTTTTAATTTTTAGTTGGAATTGTTAATCATATATATGTATTGATTGTTTTGATGAACACAAAAGTTAATAAAATCTATTTTATTTCATTAAATAACACAAAAGGCAAAATGGCATAGTTGCTTAAAGGAGTGCTAAGAGATTTGGTGTTATCATTAATTGATCTGGGTTCAAGTCACGCTATAAGCATTACGAAACTTTTTTTTAGTAGAAAACGTTTGGTCAAAGGATTTAACGGGTGGAACGGGTTGGGACGGGTTTAACGGGTTTGGGACGAGACGGGTTTGAGAAATTGAGAGGAAAGTTAGACGGGTTTGGAATTAGGGATACATAGGCGGGTTCGGGAACGGGTAGGGCAATTTGCACGGGTACCCTACCCATTGCCATTCCTATGAAAGAGGTACACCTATGCCACCTATCATAACTAACTAGATTGTTCAATAAGATGATGAAAACAAAGAACATGCCAGATGAATGGAGAAAGAGCTATATGGCATCTATATTTAAAAATAAAGGTGATATACAAAGCTATAATAATTATTTAGGGTTAGTTCAATAAAGGTTATGGCATGGAAAAGAGAGGAAGTTATCTTTTTATTGAGATGATTGATAAAAAAAATGTTTTCAGAGAGGAAGAGAGATCTTCATATGGTATTCATTAATCTAGAGAAAGCATATGATAGAGTTCCTACCAGTTATTTAAAAGGCGCACCTAGGCGCATAGGCGAGGCGCATTTTGGGGTATGCGCCTCGCCCAGGTCCGAGGCGCACCCCTTTCAAAAAGCGCACGCCTGGTGCACCTGACGTGCCTTGTGCCTCAGCCCAGGCATGTGCCTTTTTAAAATTTTGCGCTTCTTGCTTTTTTTTTAGTCTAACGGCCAGGCTGGGGGCTTCGCCCCCGGACCCCCAGCCACGCCCCTCGAGGCAAGCCCAAACAAATCTATGTTAGGGTCTGAAATTCTTATTTCTCACATAAAAAATAATGGTTTTATAATTTTCATTGCCTTTTAAGAAGATATTTTATTGCAATTAATGAAAGAAAAACATTAGCAAATAGACTTGTTCGAGCTTGCCTCAAGGGGCGTGGTACAAAGGCAACTCATAGAATCAAGAATGCAATATGTTTTACATCACATTAGCTACTTGATTAAATGTAATTAAGAAAAAAAAAAGAAATTGTGGGTTTTAATGCTTGAAAATGCTTTATATGTTTGCTTTTATTTTTTATTTTCATTTGAATACGCATTACATTTTATGTGTATGTAATTTAATTTTAGATAATAGGTTTTTTAAAACATTTATTTTAAAATTTAAGTTTATATTTTTTTATTAACATTATGTTTAATATTTTTTGCATTTTTTTAATTTTTGGCTTTTCTTTAATTTTCTTTTTTTTAGCTTCTTTTGTAATTTTACGCCTTGCTTAAAAAGGCATGCGCCTCACCTTGTGCCTTGCGCCTCAGGCACAAATTGGCCCTTGCGCTTTTAAAACACTGGTTCCTATAGAGATAATATATTAATATGGTAGATATTAGAAAAAAAAGTGTATTAACTGCTAAATAGGTATATAGATATGATTAAGGACATGTATAAGATTGCAACAACCAATGTTAAAACACTTGAGGGAGAGATATCAAAGCTTCCGTTTACAATGGGACTTCACTAAGGCTCAACACTTGGCCCTTATTTATTTACACTAATCATGTAGGAATTGACTAAACATATAATGGTGTAAGTTGTTTGCTAAATGCTAATGATATAGAGTTTAGGAGTGGAAATGCCAAATTATATTTATGGGCAAATACCTTAGAATCAAGAGGCTTTAAAATAATCAGGACTATAGTAAAATATATACAATGTAAGTTTAATAATAATAGAAGTGAAAATCAAGAGAAACTTAGGATTGGAGACCAAGAGATATCTCAATGAGGCATCTTCCATTTCCTTGGTTCAATGATCCATAACAAGGGAGAGATTGAGGATGATGTCGCCCATAGAGTTAAAGCAGGATAGGGGAAAATGGAGAGGAGAATCCAAAGTTTTATGTGATAGGAGAATACCACTTGGGTTAAAAGGAAAATTTTATAAAATGGTTGCAAGTCCAACAATTTTCTATGGAGTAAATTGTTTGGTAGTCAAGAAACAATATGTCCACAAAATGAGTGGTAGAAATATAGATGTTGAGATGGACGTGTGGAAAACTAGAAAGAATAGGACCAGAAATGAACTCATACAAGGGAACCTAGGAGTATCTCCATTAGGTGATAAAATGAGGGAAAGTTGACTAAGATGGTTCAGTTGCATGCAATGAAGACCATCTACAACATCAGTATGAAGTGATCTGCTACAAGTTAAAGGTGTTAGAAGAGTTAGGGGCAGACCAAAAAGGACATGGGTTGAAGTAGTAGCAAATGATTCAGGGGCTCATTGTTTAACAATGGATATGAAACTGAATGGAATGGAATGGTGGAACAGAATTCATATATCCACCCCATCCAGTTGGGACAAGTCTTAGACAATGATGTTGATGATTTATAAATTCAATGCTCAATAGCATTAGAAGGTAGGTTCAAGCCTGAAGCAATCACCTTGTGCAAAAAATGACAAAGATTAGATCAATCTGTATCCAGTCTGCCCCTCCCAAGACCTAGAATAGCCAGGACCAACATTGGGTAATGTGGCCCTGTCTTATTCAAATTATAATTTTATTAGAGGAAATATCAAGCCTTGTATTAATACTAGAAAATGTAAAAGTAATTTGATGTGTTAGAAAGAAGGGAGAAATCAGTTTGGTTCTGACATTTTTAGATTATATGGTCCTCTTCAATTTTAGAAATTTCTGAAACTCTGACCTTATCATTTAAGAGAACACATTGGACAGCCATGTATGCTGATATGAATTTTTGCCTTAATGGATGCCCCTCTCCAAACATTAAAATGACCTATCACTGTAGGTGCATACATCCATCACTTGCACTACCAACTTGCTCCCAATTTAGTAAGCATATGCATGTTAAGTTGTAACATAAAGAAAAATTGTCATGCGAAATTTGGTTGACACAATAAATACAATTATAAAGCAGAATATTCTAGGTGCATATCTCATCATAACACTGGTTAAATTTGTTGGAGAATCTTCATGGTTTCAGTAATTTTCTCTTAACTAACCCAACAATAAAAAGTAAAATTTAAGGTCATTTGTTTGCTTTTCATATCTATGCTGATATAACTTGTTCATTGCGTCAGATTATACTATTAAAAGGATCTATAGATTGTTCAATGAGTAAAAGAATTACTCGTCGAAAAAAAAGTAAAAGAATTGAAATCGAGAGGTTACTTACGGTAATGTAATATGATTGGTTCAGAGTGAAATATAGTCCCTATGCCATGCCCAACAAACTGCTCTACCACATTATATTCAAAATTTTCAGCATGTTCACTGAAATAGCATCGCATCAACAATGTCAATAAATATTGTCAAAAAAATTCAAACCCAAACAATTTATCAGAAAAGAACAGGAAACAAGGTTAGCAAGGAGAATAATTTGAAATAATAAGGGCAAAAGAATGTTTTTTTATTTATCGTTATATAATATACCATGCCAATCAAATGAGAGACGCTAGGTGGTATTAAAAAGTGTCTTTTTTGTAAGAATAGCAAATGGATGTAAATTTACCATTACACACCATCTATATTACTTAAATTAGAGATGCATGTGACTTTAAAATGTCTTTTAACTCTGAAAAATTAGACTGACTATTTCCATGTATTATTTAGTAAGAAACAAAACCTGGAAATAACAAATGTAATCCATGAAAATTTCAAATTATGGCAAATGAGACACCTCAGTGATGTTAAATAGCCAATATCTTTGCAAAAGGAGGGAGGGAGGGAGGGAGGGAGGGAGGGGGAGAGAGAGAGAGAGATGTTACAACAGATGGAGTGTATTTTATCATAAGAATGGCTATTAAATGTTTCATTTACCATTATTTACTATATTGTATAATAATCTCAAATAATTCAATGAAAAGCACATCGTATAATCAATATAAAAATAACCAACCAATTACTTGCCAACCAGAACAGTGCTTTCTTTTAATAGCTGCACACATAAAAATAAAAGCAATTATATACCCCTCAATGATTAAAAAAATAAACTTATGATAGGATAGTCGTACATATGGTAATATAAACTGGCATTTTGGGTGGGTTATGGGCATACACTTTATTAACATGACTGACAGCCATTTGGACAGTTTAATATCTAGATGTCAGAGTTGGAATGACTAAAATCAGTGACTAGGCACTATTTCATGACAATATATGCATTACAGAAACCATGATGTAGACATCCCACAGCACGTAAAAATAAAATAAATAAATAAAAACTAGTCCTCAATTGTAAATCTTGTACTAGTCCCTTATTCGTACTAATATTTTCATGTACCTTCATAAAATAAGCAGCTGTACATTCTCCAAACATACAACTAGCATAAGCAATGTAATTATTGAAATCTTGAAATCAGTGTAATCTTGATGCTAGTGTAACTATAAAAATATAAGCTACTACCTAATCGTCTTTCCAATGTTCATAAAGTTGGCACCATCTTTACACACAGATATGGCCCTCTCCAAGCACTCTTCAGTTACCTGATAACAAGAACTAGTGAATTGAGACCTAGGTAGAAAAATATCAATAAATAAGATGGTTGTGAGAAACAGGATAAAAGCTATGAAATGGAAAAAAAAAAGAATTTCCATAGATGTTGGAAAACATAGATTAAGTATTCATGAAGTCAAGAATGAAATTATACCTTCACAAGGCGTTTTGTAGCATCATCAACATTGCCACAAAGAAATGTCTTTGAGGTATCCCCATGATAACCCTAAAATTCAATTCGATAAAAGTGCATAATAAAGAGAAACATTAGCCCTGAAGAATAAATGACAAGAAATAAGAAATGCTTTAGATACTGTAAATTATGAAGATCAAAGGGAACTGCAAAATTTTGCATCCTTTTAACTTGTTATACATTTGTATTATGTTCAATAAGTTTTAATTAAAAGGGAGAAAAACTTGAAAAAGAAATATATTTAAACAAGCCACAATGCCTTTATTCACCTGAAGGCTATGTGATGCCCTGATAATATTGCTTGAGCTATTATTTTCACTTTCTAGTCGGTCTCCAACTGTCCATAGAATGGAGCAGTTGTTACTCAAGCAGATTATTAGCTCTTTGTGAATGATGATCAGTCCTAATTCCTAAAGAGTTGTGGAGCTGGGGAGGTTAGGTAAAGGAATCTAAAAATGAGAAGCAAACTCAAGAAGTGATTACTAGTCAGAATCTAGTTAAAAAATACAAAAAGAAAGATTAGTGCAGTTGCCATGATCTATGATCATGGGAAATCATAGATCAGACAGCATGCCTCTGTCAGGTGGAAGAGAACAAGATCACCAGGTCTTAAGGTTCTGAAATGATTGGCTATCAGTAGCTTGCCAGAGATCTTCTTAGTCAATTGAGATATAAAATGGAATGGTTTCATTTTCATTTTTTTCAACAACTTGAAGAAGAGAGGACTAAGAAAAATTCTAGGAATACTTTTTTTTTGGAAAAGGTAAAATAATTTTATTCAGCTCAAAAAAAAATACAAGCTGGGTTCAGACCCAGAAGGGCAGCCTAAAAACCACAGCAGTTACACTCTCCACCAGGACTTAGAGCAAGAGAAAGAAGACAAATTCAGACTTTTGAATTCCTCAGATACAGATATCCAAGAAATCAGCTTGCCCACAGCTCTCTGAGTGATATCTTCAGGACTTTTAGCTTTATTACAGAAAATTCTACTTTTTTTTTTGATAAATGAGTGAAATTTTATTAAACCAGCAAATAAGAGTTACATGCAACCCGTGGAAAGGCACGAGATGCGACCTTCTCTTAGAAGCTAATTACAGAATTATAAGTACAAAAGAAATTACACTGAAGCCCAAAATAAAGTATCCCGGGAAMCCCCTTGTTTTGCAAGTGAATCAGCCAATAAGTTTGCTGATCTGCCTACCCACTGAACTCTGATTGTCATATTCCTTGTTAACCATTTAACCTTTTTGAGAAGATCTCTAAAACCCCAAATCACAGTGTCTGGATCCTTAAGCCAACCCACTATCACCTGGGAATCCCCTTCAATAATCAGAAAATTCTACTATTCCTCTCAGCCCAAATAGACCATAAGAAAGCAGCAGGAATAATCCTCCACACCAGGCTCCCTTTCTTGCTTAGGCCTCTCACATCCCAACAACAGAGCAAATCCTTAACCGATCTAGGCATTACCCAACTGAAATCCAAGGCTCTGAGAAAGTGTCCCCAAATCTGAGAGGAAAATGGACAATGAATACATAAATGATCTGTCAATTCAGCATGTTGCCCACAAAGACTACATGAATGATCCATAACCTGGATGCCACTTCTCACCAGATTAACTCTGGAAAGATTTCCAAGGGGAACTACCCCAACATAGGGGGGGATCCCTAGATCTCCAGTTACCCCACTCCACCCCATCTGTATTCTAGGAATACAGATTGGGTTTAATCTTAATAAATACTATTTTGTTATAACAGAATTGGATCCGGATGTCTTTGTTTCTTTATAAGTTTTATGAGCTTTAAGTAGTTAAGTTTGAGGGGTATGTAAAGGGATGATCACTGCTAGCCCATCCCAGCAGGACTAGCCCTCCCAGCCTGGAATTATATGATATATATAGTCTTTAGACCAAGAAACCCAGTTGCCCGGGACTGGCCTGGACCAGCTTATGATCAACCCTAGGTACATGCAGCAAGCTGACCGTGGATTTGTGTACCAACCAGCTTGACTCAACGATGTTTTTGCTGCTGAAACTTCAGCAGCAGAACCGTTCTCAGCCTCCAAGATCTAAACTAATAAATACATTCTTAGGAAAAAAATCTGCTAAACATATGGCAATTAGAAGTGGAAATTGGAAGACATAGCACTGGTAAAAATAAATGAATGACAACGGACAAGAACCAGTAGCAGTATATGTGAATAACCTTTAGCAAGGAACTATTCATGAACATACATTCAAGAAGACAGTGACATCTATGTTTATTATGTCGCCATCCTGCACAAAAGATTACCATCAATGTAAAAGACTGGATACCCAAGTGTAAGTTTTACCATGTAAAGCATATCATGAAAATATGGAATTAATGATAAGAAAGAAAGCACAGAAAACCTGTAGCTGGCGTGAGTCAGGTATTCCATGACACATGCACTCATTAACTGATGTGCATACACTTTTTGGAAACCCTCCATAGCCAAGAGGTGAAGGGTAAGCCCCGGCATCAATAATCATCTTGTGCACTGCTTTGTCAATTTCGTCTGTTGTTACTGATGGCTGATAAAGACATTGGAACATGTAATAGCAAATCTTTTTTATAAAAATCATGTCATGTTAGCCAAACACAAGATAAGGTTATAACAACCCAAAGTACCAAATTTAACAATTTAACAAATTAACAAGCAGACCAAAATCATATTTAAAAGGTAGCATATTCATCAGTAAAGGGAAATACATACAGAAGCACACTCTTCCTGTTGCTTAAATGAATAAAATGATTAACAAGAAATGAGCACAAAACATTATAACCTTTTCTGCATTGAGAGCAAGATAGCCAGATATGCATGAATAGAAGAATACTTAAAGTCCACCAAAATCTATGCAAAAGCATCTATAATACTTCTTTTTATTTAATTTTTTGATTGGGTGTTACCTATATTCTTTGTGATATTTGTCTTTATCAATGAACTTTCTTTCTATTTTATTATAAGAAAAATCTAGAATATGAGCATGGGAAGATCCTATAGTTTCTAAGAAGATATGCAGTACAATCAGATTAAGATGAACCTATAAGAAAAAAGAAGACTGCACATTAATCTATCATTTTCCTTTTTTGTCTTTTTTTCCCTTTTATCAATAAAAAATTATTAAACTTCAAAATAACCTACAGAGATTAGGAGAAATAAAACCAAAAAAAATAAAAGAAACAGAAAATTAGAGAAGAGATTGAATTTATATGGTTCATTTAGAAGAGCAATCTGTGGGAGGAAGTATCAATCTATTATCAAATAAAAACCCCTAGATACTGGCCAACCTCCTTGATCTCACTCAAAACCCTATTCTAGACCCTTCGATGACTTAAACAATCCCAATATACAATGATTCTAAAATCTTAGATAGACTCCTTGTACTCCAGAATTGTACAATAATGCAAGATATATAATAATCTCAAATAAACACCCCTATATCCTACAACACACAAGAGGATAAAATACACATACAAGGAAGCCCAAATAATGGACAGGAGCAACCACCCATAAAAGATAAGCATACACTAAACACTCTAGGAAATATGCAGTTTTTTTTTTCGATAAATGAAATATGCAGTTTTTTATCAGAAGAAATGTACAACTCAAGCTCAACTCAACTAAGCCTCATCCCACTGAGAAATGTACAAGTCAAAACTCAGAAAAAAAAAAATGAAAACTATCCCAACATGAACAAGCTCTAATACAGCTCAGGTCTTCCTAGACCTTAGTTTCCTCCTTTGATAACGAATTAACTGACCTTCAGATCTACCTGAACCAGCTGATAACCCTCAAGGCCATGGCATGAGCTTCTCTAATATAATGTCTCATTGATCACAAACCCAAAAACCCACTGCTCATCCAACAAATTACCACTCAAGCCTCACCCTCAACCTCCATCCTGGTTAAGTCCCAAAGAGAAGAGAAGTTGATGGCTATGAATAAAAGATAAAGAACTCAACACGCAAAGCCACCTTTGCCAAAAGGTCCTGAATACACCATCAGAATGGCTCCCTATATCTCTGAAAGTTTCACCAATCGCAGATGGCCCCAAGTAAAAACTTTTCTGTTTCATTCACCATTACTACAAGCAACAACACTATTGGCAATCAATTCCAAAGCCCAATCCAATCTACTCTTTTTTGGCTGGTAGATAGGTAAAGATAATTGAAAGTGTTTCAAAAATGTATTAAAAAGTTTGTGCAAATGATGAATCTGGATCCATCAAGATCCAATTGATTTTGTTCTCACAGTATTGGAATAAGTCAAGACACCTAATTTGAAATAATCAGCTCACCTTACTTGTATTTCCATGGCAAGAACTACCACATTGTAATATGCTCTTATCACATCCAGCCACATCAATCAAAACCATAGTCGTCAAGGCGACGCCTAGGTGTCTAGGCACTTTTAGGGCTCGCCTCGCCCAAATGCCATGACATTTATATATAAATTCTTCAAGTTTCTTATACTTTTTATATTTTAAGCTTATAATACTAAGGTAAGTAAGATACATTGAATCATTCTGTTTATTTCTTTCATAAAATAATATATTTTTTATTAGTTTCTTATTTTGTTAGGGTTCTGATAGCTTCTTTCTTTGAAAAGTAAAAGGCAAAAATTAAATTAAAAAGAGAACAAGGAAAACAAGATGCATCCTCCAACAGTGCCAAGGTGGTACCACACATCAACAACTCACCCACATGACCAAACAGCACAAGACACAAAGAAAACAGCCACACAAACATCTTAATGAGAATTGTAGAGAACATTGATGTGGGCCCCACAGCTGTGGTCCCACTCTGTCCGTAGGGTAGAATGTATCTAGTCACAGCTGTGGTTATTTTACTGTTCTGTTATTTCTAGTTTCAGTTTTATATTGTTTGTTA